GAAGATCAGAGAGACAGAGCAAGCCACAGCTAACCTTACCTGGCCAGTTTCTCAGCTGATCCTGTTTCCTCAGACTGGAAGCTTCTGTGTTCTCATCCCAATGGCTCTCAGCTGAACTGTGCTGCTCGAAAGCCTAAAAACTTAACCAGGCCAAATGCTTAACCAGCCAAATGCTTCCAGTTTCTGGTCCTCACGCCTTATATATCTTTCCTTTCTACCATCACTCCCTGGGATTAATGGCTTGCTTTCTGGGATTAAAGGCTTGCTTTCTGGGATTAAAGGCGTGAGTCACCATGCTTGGCTGTATCCTTGAACACATGGATTTCTGCCTCTGGAATGCTAGGATTAAAGGTGTGTGCTACCACTGCCTATCCTCTATGTTTAATAATGTGGCTATTCTGTCTCTGACTCCATTTAAGTTTATTAGGGTGCACAATAATTTGGGGAACACAATACCACCACATTTCCCTTTTTTGTCTAAAATTAAAAAAGCTTATAACTAATACAAGAAAAATTATATCCAATAAGTATATACAATATACACAGTCAAGATTACATTAATGATGTCTAGTCCATTAACATTTGACAGATTCAGACAAAAAACTCCATTAATATATAACAATGTCCAGTCCAGTAACATTTGATAAACTCAGACAAAAAATTTTCATTACTTATCTTATTTAAAACAAGTTGTTCCTTTTTAACAGTATTTTTTCTTTTCATAATAGATTCAGTAATCTACCTTTTGTCATTTTTTTATCTTCCCCTTTTTCTTTTCAGTGTAGATTCAGTGATCTTCCTTTATTTTTTTCTCAGAATAGATTCAATGATCTACCTCATATCTATATTCTCTTTTTCCTTTTTTTTTTTTTTTGTTTTGTTTTAGGGGTCAGCACATCCAGAGTGCAATGGATAAGCCTCGCCCTGGGAAAACCACCTTCATGATCATGGTATCTCCCCTGCATATGCCTCTGTTCAGCTTGAATGTATTTTATTGAGTATTTTTACATGTATGTTCACCAGAAATATTGGCCTGTAGTTTTCTTTCTTTGTCATGTCTTTACCCAGTTTTGGTATTAGAGTAATACTGACTTTATAGAAGGAGTTTGGGAGTGTGCCTTCTGTTTTTATTTTTATTTTTTAGAATAGTTTAAGAAGTATTGATTGTATATCTAATGGTCTGGTAAAATTCTGATGTGACTCCATCTGGACCTGGACATTTTCCTTCAGATAGTTTTTTTTATTATTGTTTTGAAGATAGTTTTTTTTTTTATTGTTTTGATCTTGCTATTGTATGGGTCTGTTATGGGTCCTCTTGGTTTTACTTGGTGGTTTGGGTGAATTTAGAAATCCATTCTTTTCTTTTAGATTTTCTAATTTGGGGCCATATAGGTTTTAAAAGTATTCCCTTTGTTTTTTGTTGTAACGTTTCCTTGTTCATTTCTGATTCTGTTGATTTGGACTTGAGTCATTTCTTTCTTTCTTTGGATTAATTGGACTATGAGTCTGTCAATCTTTTTTTAAACATTTATATATTTTGTGTGTGTGTGAGTGTTTTGCTCACATGTATGTATGTGCATCATGTGTGTGCCTGGTGCATGCGAGGTCAGAAGAAGGTATTAGAACCCCTGGAACTGGAGTTTTGGATGGTTATGAGCTACCATGTGGGTGATGGTAATAAAACCTGGGTCCTCTGCATGAATAACATGTGCTCTTAACTGCTGAGCCATCTCTCCAGGCCCTTGCCCATCCTTTCAGAGAACCTCCTCTTAGGTTCGTTCTTGAAACTATTTCTTGGATTCTATTTCATTCAGTTCTGCTCTGATCTTTGTTGTTTCTTCCTGCCTGCTGGATTATGGTTGGGTTTGTTCTTAGTTTTCCAAATTCTTAAGTTCTATCATTAAGTCATTTATTTGTGCTGTTTCTGATATTTAAATCTAGGCTCTTAGAGCTATGAATGCCCTGGGTAGGACTGCTCATAATGTGTCCCAGATGTGTTCATTTCCATTTAATACCAAGAAATTTGAAATTCCTTTGTTGATTTCTTATTGCTTAATTATTATTGTATTACTTAATCTCCACGAGTTTGTGTAGTTTCTAGAGTTTCATCTGTTGTTGATTTTAGGCTTTGTTGCATCATAATCAGAAAGGATATATTAGATTATTTTGTTTTTATGAATTTGTTAAGTTTCTGTTGTTTTCCAGGATATGATGATCTGTTTTAGAGATTTTTCCATGGGTTACTGAATAGAATAAATTTTCTTTGGTTTTTGAATGTCATATTCAGTAGTTTTATTTGATGCATGATGTCATTTATTTCTGATGTTTCTTTTTTTTCCCCCAGATAACCTATCTACTAAAGAAAGTAGGGTATTGAAATCACCTACTGTGGTAGTTTGAATGGAATTGGCCCCCATAATCTCATAGGGAGTGGCATTATTAAGAGGTATGGTTTTGTTGGAGTAGGTGTGGCCTTGTTGGAGGAAGTGTGTCACTGTGGGGCAGACTTTGAGGTTTCCTATGCTCAGAATGCTGCCCAGTGAGTCAGTTGACTTCCTGCCACCTTCTGGTCAAGAATTAGCCATCACCACTATTGCCTGCATGCCACCATGCTCCCTGTCATGATAATAAAGGACTGAACCTCTGAAATTGTAAGCAAGCCACCCCAAGTAAATGTTTTCTTTATAAGAGTTGCCATGGTCAGGGTGTCTTTTCACAGCAATAGAAATAAATCTGTTTGTGGGGCCCCTGGCAGTGGGACCAGGAGCAAGAACCGGCTTTTTGGAGCCCATCCTCTGTGGTGGGATACCTTGCTCAGCCTTGATGCAGGAGGGGGGGGCTTGGTCCTGCCTCAAGTTCGTATGCCAGACTTTCTTGACTTCCCAAGGGAGGTCTTACCCACTCTGAGGAGTGGGTGGGGGATGAGGTGAGGGAAAGTGGGAGGGGAGCAGGAGAAGGGCAAGGAGGAGGAACTGTGGTTGGTATGTAAAAATGAAAAAATAAAAAAGAAAAATAATAATAAATTTTTTATCCCTCTGGGGGGGCAGGGAGGGAAGAAATCCAAACTAAGACATCTATTGTGACTGAGTTGGATTTTATCTGAATCTTTAAGTCTCATAGTATGCTTTTATGACATTGGGTGTACAAGAGTTTGGTACATATATATTTAGGATTGTAATGTCTCCTTGGTTAATTGTTTGCTTGATTAGAATAAAGTGCCCTTTATTTCTTCCAATTAGTTTTAGTTTGAAGTCTATTTTCTCAGATGCTAGGATATCTACAAATACTTGCTCCCAGATACTATTTTCTTGTTATCAGTGTAAGGTGAAGCTTATCATTAAAGCTAAGAGGAGTTTCTTGTAGACAAACAGAAAGATGAATTTTGTTTCTGTTGTTGAGCTAATGTGTCTTTTGATAGGCGAGTTAAGACTACTAACATTTAAAGTTATTGAAGTGTGTATGATGATTGCATTATTGTTTGATTACTCTTCATGTTTGTGGGAATTGTAGCTTCATTTCTTTGCTTTTTGTAGTATCTTGGCTATGCTTATCCTTCTCTTCAGTCTGAAGTGTTGCTTCCAATATTCTCTGTAGGGCTGCTTTGATGGACGTGCATTCTTCCGGCCTGTTTGTAATATGGAAAGGTTTTCTTTCTCTTTCAACTATGGCAGACAGTTTTGCTGGGTATAATAGTCTAGCTTGGCGTCTGTGGTTTTTTGTTTGTTTGTTTGTTTGTTTGTTAGAACTTAGAGTACATTCAAGATTCCTCTGAATTTTAAATTTCCGTAGAGAAATCAGTTGTTATTCTGATGGGTTTCCTTTTCATGTAGCTTGTGGTTTTTCTCTAGCATTTTCATTATCCTCTGTTGGTTTTGTATATTCAGTGTTTAAATTATATGCAATGAGGAGTTTCTTTTCAGTTGTGTCTATTTGGTGTTCTGTGTGTTTTTTGTATTTTATGGGTGTGTCTTTCCTTTATTTGGGGACATTTTCATCTATAATCTTGTTTACAATCTGGTCTGTCATTGTCCTGGGATTCTTCTCTTTCATCCATGCCTACAATTCAAAGACCTGGTCTTCTCATGGTGTCACACAGTTCTTGTGTGTTCCTGTAACGTGCTTTTAAAAAAAATGTCATATTCTTTGCTTGAGTTGTCCAATTTCTCTGCTTTACTTCTAAGTCATGATATTCTGTCATCTGCTTACCAAGTCCACCTCTAGGGCTTTCCCCCAAGGTTTTTAAATTGGGCTGTTAAGTTTTTCAATTCCATCTTAATTTCAGATTGAATTCCCTTCAATATTTTTATCTCTTTATTGAGTTCAGCTCTCAAATCCTGTATTGTCTTCATTGTCTCATTTGGCATTGTATTTATGATCTCTTGAGTATACTCAAGCGTTTATTGTTTATTCTCTTTAATGTGATTGTACTATTTTTGTGTGTCTTTTTTAAAGTCCTTGAATTCTTCCATGGAATTTATGATTATTTTTTTAAACTCTGTGTCCTGGGGTTCATCTACGTTATTCTCATTTGAGAGCATTCTTATAGAGCTGGTTGGTTTGAGGTAGGACACACTGTTTTGTCCTGCAATGTTTTTCATGTTTTTGTGATATGACCTAGGCATGTGAACTTCTTTCATTGGCCATGAGTCTGAGGAATGGATCTAGCCTACCACAGGAGCCACATGGCTGGAGTTAGGCCATGTACAACTACTATAGGAGCTGCTAGATTGGGTCTAGATCTGCCAGTGTGGAGATGGAACATGAGTAGTCTAGGGTCTAGGGAGGTCACCTGGTAGCACTGGTGTGTGAGCTGAGTCAGAGCCAGAGACAGGCCTGAGATTGTGGAGATGGCAGGTAGGCTTGGTTTTGAGGGGACTCACCAGGCAAAGCAGTACAGGGTTTATATGTTCAGGGATAGGTCTGGGAGCATGAACATGGTGTGGAAAGGCTTAATTTTGAGGGGACCCACAAGGCAAAGCCAGTGCAGGAGCTGTGCATCCGGAGTTTGTGAGTTTGGGCTGTGCCTGTGAGTTTGGGGTGAAATATGAACTTTGAATTATGGCTTTAAAGGCCAATCATGAACCTAAAGGAATTTCATAAAATTTTATTTGTGGTTGTAAAATGATTTAGTTCAGCTAAAAGAAAAGATCTGTGTGAGGTGTCCTGTTTCTGTTATCCCCCGACTCAGGTGTCTAAAGCAGAAGAATCAGGAGTGAAAGTCCAAACCTACCACATAGTGTGTGGGAGACTGTGGAAGACCAGCTCCCACTTGCTCCCACCTTTCAAAGGGTTCTTGGGTGGAGGAGAGAGGAATGAGGAAATGATAGATAGAAAGATAAAAGAAACCAATAAGAAAGACAGACACAGGATAACTTCAGGAGGGCGCTGGGTCCAAACCCAGCCGCCCAGAGGTTTATTCAAAAGGGATTTTTATAATATGACAAGGGGAGAGACAAAAGATCTCCCCCTTGCAAGATCAAAGCACACCATACAGCCAAGTGTAGACCCTTCCAAACACCTAGTAAACATGCCTGTGGCCAAATCATCTCTTTATGCAGCCCTGATGAGTAAAGCAAGCTCAGGTTCTGACCCTGAGTAATTTGGGCTCCCACAATAGTGATATCTTATTTAAAAACAAATAATAATGAATCATAATCTTTTCAGAGGTATTTCTTCTGAAGATAAGACAGACCTATTAAATCCTGGAAATTGGGACTAAATGCATGCAAAGTTAAAAACTGAGCAACAGGGTTTATAGTAGGTTATCAATTAGAAGGTAACTGTAATTGCAAACACAATTATACTATGAAAAACAATGTCTAATTGGTTTAAATTATTTTCATTAATAACTCAAAGCAGGTAAATAACTTATATTCTACACCCCTGAATCTGAAGAAACTCCTATAAATGAGTTTTAAGTGTGACCTCTTTCAGCCAGCTTATACACATTTTTTCTTAGTAACAGGTTCATCATAGAAATCAATAACAAATAAATAAGTAATAAAATATAGCCAGGTGTGGGAGGAAGTAGCCATTTTGATATTTTAGAGAATGAACTGAGACCACAGATAATGTATTTCAGTTTAGCATTGAAGTGAGGCATTCATGTACAGTTGAGCCAAATTATAAGAAGAGAAATAGAGATGATGTACACTATAACACATATTTTACAAGGTAAAGGATTCTGTGATCATGTTTCCTTCAACTATTCATGGAGGGAATAGGGCTAAGCATTGGTAATTTCCACTAATACTTTCAAAGCTTCAGTTCAAATAAAATCACTAATTATTTTAGTAATTTTACCATCATTGCTAAATAATTATTATTTCTGCTAAAAGTACTAATGAATTGAAGACAGCACAATTAAAATGGTATATAGTTCAATACATTTCAGAAATTCAAATGCAGTTCCTATCACTTGAATGAAAAAGTTCAATAGATTTTGCAATCAAAGTCTATTGCCAGGCTGTGTGGTGGTTGTGCATGCCTTTAATTCCATCACTCAGGAGGCAGAGTCAGGCAGATCTTTGTGAGTTTGAGACCAATCTGGTCCATAGAGCAAGTTCCAGGACAGCTAGGACTACACAGGGAAACCCTGCCTCGAAAAACAAACAAAAATCTATTGCCAGAAATATGTGGAATAAGGAGGGTGGATTAGGCACACACACTGCATTAAAGTGTATGCATGAGCTAACAAACACCTGCATTTTATGGGGATATTTACATGGAAGGCATGTGAATTCTGTGATTCTGAAATGCTAAGGCTTGTGCACTTGCTAAATTGGGGGGGAAAATTCTGATTGTTTCCACCCCAAGAACACATAATGTTTTCTTATCTTGATATTTTTATTCTGCACACAGTCTCTCTCAGAGCCTGGTGGACCTGCTTGTTGCGCAGGGTGTAGATGACAGGGTTCAGAAGCGGCGTCACCACTGTGTTCATGAGAGCAGCCTCTCTGTTGGATTCCAGCCTGCTTGACTGCTTCGGTTTCACGTATATAAATATACAGCTGCCGAACATCAGCGAGAGGACGATGAGGTGGGAGGAGCAGGTGGAGAAAGCCTTCTGTCTCTCCTTGGCTGATGGGAGACGCACGATCGTGACGACTATGCTGCTGTATGCAGTGATGGTTATAGTGAGGGACGAGAGAAGGAGAAGCAAAGCAAGACCCAAAGTCAGAGTTTCCACAGAGCTGGTGTCGGAGCAGGAGAGGCGGATCAGAGGGCCGAGGTCACAGAAGAAGTGTGGGATGACACGGGGGCCACAGAAGGATAACTGGGTTACCTTCACTACCACCCAAGTGATAAGGGTGAAGGTCGTAGTAAGGCAGGCCATGATTAGGAGGGTGCAGGTCCTCGGGTTCATGATGGTGGGGTAATGAAGAGGCCTGCAGATAGCCACACACCTGTCCACCGACATCACAGCTATGAGAAGAAAACCAAACGCCCCGATAAATACAAAGACAAAGGCTTGTATGAAACAGGCGACAAAGGAAATTGTTTGTTTCCCTAAAAGAAATATAGCCAACAACTTAGGGATGGCAGTACTGGTAAAACAACACTCAGTGAAGGAGAAGATGCCGAGGAAGAAGTACATGGGGGTTTTCAGACGGGCATTGGTGCAGACAATGGAGACGATGACTACATTTCCTGTGATGGAGGCCAGGTATGCCAGCAGGAGAACTGAGAAGAGGAGGATCCCCAGGTGCTGGACAGCAGGAAATCCCTCCAGGATAAAGTCCTGGACAGTTGTCCCATTCCCCATTTCCACTGTCTTAACTTATGGTAAAGAGATCACAGGGAGCAGAGATGTTCTCACGGTGCACACGATCAGGTCATTCAGCAGCCTGTTCAAAGTGCGGTGAAGGTTAAAATATGATGAAACATGTTATTCTCTTTTCTTTTGACACAAACCTGTGTGTTCCGAAGTTTAACTGTAGTATCATAATTATTGGCATGTTACTCTTCGGTTCAGCCATCATTACTATGACCATTATAACCACTACCATCACCATTTATGCTACTGCACTGGCCACCTGGAGTCAGTATTCCTCTCTGTCCCCACAATATCCTAAGTATTAGGTTCTTGCCGCCCCTGCTTCACCAGGAGGAGAGATCAAAACTTTCAGAGTCTCAGAGAGGTTGGATCATATAACAGAGATACTGAAGATTGGACTCTTACTGGATTCCAAACTCCTGCTATTTCTCAATATTATTCCAAAATATTTTTTAACACATTACATTTGTATTTATTTACTGCTAGTATAACTGTACATGCGTTGGGGCATGTATGTGGAGAGAAGAGGATAATTTGCAGGAGTCAGTTTCTTCTTGCACCTTATGGGTCGTCAAACTTGGTGGCAAATACCTGAATGGAGGAGACCTTTATATATGACCTTTCTGCTGCATACCTTTCTCCTTTGTAATCCCACATCATAACTGAGTGCAAAATCATTTGTGTTCAGTTATACCAAGAACAAAATTCTGCAAAAACATGGGTCTAATGTATCTTTGATGATTTCCCCACAAAATGTCCAACTGACAGTCTCTCAAACATAGGTGATAGATATACTCTATTGATCCTGCTTTCTCATCCTTCAGGTAATAGTAATGACATATGGTGGACCTAAGGACAGTATGGTTCTTAGACTAGATCTGTTTCAGCACAACCACCTAACAGAAGGACACTGAGATGATCAGGCACTAGAGACCTCACTGTTACAGGGTAAGTCAAAGACTTAACCTTGTCCTTCTGGGCTCCATCCTAGAATGTAAGAAGATGCCAGTGGCAGCCTTTCCAATTATTAACTGACTAGGAAGAAAGTGTCAGAAACACGGCACTATCCCCTTCACTCATAACAGTGATCCACAACTTTATCATTCTCTCTTCCATCTCATTGAGTGCCAAGTTGCTAATATCAGGGTGTGATATGTGTCTGACCCACACTCTCGTGGCCAGGACCTGAATGTACGGCTTACCTGGATCTCCTTCATGCTCCAGGGCCTGAGGAATATTCTGGTACACTGCTCACCTCTCGGGTGTGTAACTGACCTTTCTGCTACATAGCTTTCTCCTTGGTAATCCCACATATCTAAGCACAGAATCATTTGTGTTCAGTTATACCAAGAACAAAAATCTCCCAAAACACAGGTCTAATATGTCTTTGATGATTTCCCCACAAGAATTTGGTCACTAGTCTGATGTCTCCAGTCAGGGAACAGGGTGCTCTCAGAGCTTGTTATGAGTGGAAGGAATATGAAAGAAATGTTATGCACAGCTGGGCTCCCTAGAGATGTCTAATTGGTCACTTTTGAGAACAAAAGTTATTGGTGAAACACTGTGTTTTCTGTCGGGGTGATAGGTGGTACAGACTGTCCTCTGGTGAGACTTTTTACTCTATTTCCCTAAGGATTTCTCAGATCTCAGCTTGCAAAGTTTCTATTTATTTGAAGTCAAAGTCCAGACTTAGATTTTCTACATGTGATGTGTATATTGAGGCCAGAGCAATGTACCAAAGCACATGATCATAAGGAACTGGTCCCTGCCTCTTGGTTTTGTCAGACTTATGGAGAAGGTACAGAAGGAAGATCTGCAGAAGAGAGTGGATCTCACCTTCATCTGTTCCCCTATGCACATGATAATTATTTTCATTATATTTTAATTTGATTTTGTTCTGATAAGCAAACAATTAGAGTAGAAATGAACAAATGTAAGGTTAATATTTCAACACATGGATATATGGGCACCAGCCACTGGTATTTTTATCAGCAGAGTATTTTCTTTGCTGGCCCAGCCTTCTTAAAGAGAGAAATGCAATCCCTACTACTCCACAAAGATAAAGGGAAGGTCATCTATCTCCTGGCATCTAAAATGTACCTGATTCTTATCTCTCTCTCTCTCTCTCTCTCTCTCTCTCTCTCTCTCTCTCTCTCTCTCTCTCTCTCTGTCACATAATAATTGTATGCATTTATAGAGTACAATGTGGTATTTTAGGATATCCACATGGTATTGCCATGATCAGGTAAGAGTAATTGGCACATGTCTTACCTTGTTTCCTTGTGCCCAGAACATTCTAAATTTGTTGGCTGTTTTGTAATCCTCAATAAATTGTTTGCAACCATAGTTACCCTTCTGTATAGTCAAGCATTAGAAATGATTCTTTCTTTCCAACAGCTCTTCAGTACTCTTTAATCACCTTTGACCTGCCCCAGTTTTCCAAGTGCTGCTGTCTGTTGCCCAGTTCCTTAACTCTATGAAAGCAGCATAACAACATGCCTCCACATACTAGTGAGACATGGTTTCTCATCTCTCTGGGCCTGTCTTATTTCTCTTAACATAATATCCAGATTTATTCAGACCACTGAACGTGTCATAATTTTATCTTCGTGACTGACTAACTGATCACTGTGTGCATCTGTGGTGAGTGAATCCCCTCATAATTAATAGATATAGGTAGACATTGATGCAAGATGCATGAGCCTCAGAAGGGAGAAGCTGTAACTTAGCAACCTTTGATCTGTGGGCTGCATCTCTTGGCTACCTCAGGTTGGCTGCTGGGAACTGGTTTCTATTCATGCAGCTTGTGGCTTTAAGCAAAAACCAAGGACCACACATTTTCATTACAAGATGTAGAGAAATTAAGCTGGATCTAAACTGGAAGCATCCTTCCTGCTAGCTGGCTCCTGTGGTTCCACAGGATACTGTACCTACAATTGGGAAGAAAAGGCCTCTTCAGTCTTATTGAACTATGAACCCAATGACCTGTAATGTCACCCTACCATGCAAGATGTGCCCACTGGTAGCATGACTGTTATGGGGTATCCAACAGCCACTGATTGAATTTGAGGCCCATTCCATGGGAGGGAATTCACACCTGGCACTGTAAATCCAGTTGAAAATATCCATGACTAAGGGGGGAACATCTTATGACCTAGGGAGGAACTAACTCTTGATGTGTAGCTAAATTAACACAGCCCTCAAATGCTTTCTAAATACTCATGTTCATACTCACAGACAAATGCTACACTTTGCCTTAAAGAGCTTTTTGGTTTTTCAATGCTAGGTTGTGAGGCAATGTCTTGGAGATGTTGTTTGAACCTGCCATCATCAACCCTATTTACAGAGTCAAGGCAAATACTGTAGAAGTTTTCTTCAGTGTTCCTATGGTTTCCACAACTGACTAAAAAGACCAGCTGTTCTTGAAGCATTGGCTCATTCTGCTTGAACCCAGGCAAACCTGGATCTCTGCTTTGTAACCTATTGGCTTCTTTATCTCAGAATTGGTTGATACAGTACTAGGTTCCCCAAGGCACGTATCTCTTATACTTGCCCATGTCCCTCCCCTACCCTGCCCTCCTCTTCATAGCATCCTTCTTTCTCCTAGGCAGCTTCATTTCTACGTCGTCATACATGCACATAGGCTTTTATATATAAAATCTAACTTTAAATACATACAATTTTATCTATAAAACTTAGACTCTGAAGATGAGAAAGTAGTATTTGTCTTCCTGAGTATGGCTTACTTTATTTCATACCAGTATCTTCAGTTGTAACCATTTTCCTGTAAATAACATAATTTATTCTTCTGTGTGATTGAATAAAATTCCATTGTGTTTTTATACCACATTCTATTTATCCATTCCTGTATTGATGGACATCTAAGTTGGTTCCACAACTGCTAATATATATTGATACACTAGTATCTCGCCTTTCTTTCTTTCTTTCTTTCTTTCTTTCTTTCTTTCTTTCTTTCTTTCTTTCTTTCTTTCTTTCTTTCTTTTTCTAAAACAAGTTTCTCTGTGTAGCCCTGGCTGTTCTGGAACTTGCTCTATAGACCAGGCTGCCCTCAAATTCAGAAGTATGCCTGCCTCTGCCTCTCCAGTGCTGTGATTAAAGGCATGCGCTACCACCACCCAGATCACATTGATTTCTTTCAGCACAGAACTCTGGAGTGTTCAAGGTAATTCAATGATTATTTGCAAAACTTATGGGGAGGTGTGTCCTTGGACCCATAAGACAATCAGCTGTTCTGACATTTGTCATTGCTTGAAGACTAGTTTTGAAAAGAATTCTCAATATAATCTATAATAACATCAATATACATGAAATGCCCCATATTTCTGACAAAATATGCAAACATCTTTGTATGGAAAATTTAATTACATTACAGAAATAAATTAAGACATACACAAACAGTATTACAAGACTCATAAATATTTGTTTTCAACTACAAAATAAGTCAAGGATATATGTTATATTTTAGGAGTAGCCATTAAAGAGAGAAGAAGCCAGAAATGTTGAAAGCAAAAGGACAGAAAGATTTTATTTTGTAAACAATTACCAAAAAAATAGCTTGTAAGGAAATGATGGTCCTGTCAGTAATGGTAGTGAATTGAGTGATATCCTAGGTAGAAAAAAGAAATATATATTGCTTCTGATTTGATATTATGTAAAAATGGAATCAGGAAATGAAAGAAAACAAATCCAGACGTTTACTAGATCTAAAATAAATGGTTTAACAATTTATTGTTCAAAAGAAAATATGGTAGGATATATCTTTTTATTAATTTTTTTCTTTATTTTATTAAAAATTTTAATTGAAATATAATTAAATCACTTCCCTCTTTCCCTTTTTTCCTTCCGACCTTTCTCATATCATCCCACCTTCAAAACTCCCCTTACTCTGTTAGTCCTTCTCAAATTCATGGCCCTTTTTTTATTATTCTTGTTACACATACATATATGCACAATTATATGAATATAACCTGCTGAATGAGGTTAGTGTGGCCTGTGTGTATATGATTTCAGGGCATACCACTCTGTATTGAAAAACCAACTAGGGGGCTCGTCTCTAGAAGAGGCTGATGTTCCCTCTCTCTGCCATCATTAGTTGCCTGTAGCTCTTGTCTAGGTGTGGGAACCTGTGAGATTTCCCCCTTCTGCATTAGCATATCTACTGATACTATCATTGTTAGATCTTGTTAGGCAGCCATATTGTTGAGGTGTCCTAAGTGCAGTTTCTCTGTCATTTCTTGGAGACACAATCTCACAGCAGACTTCCTAGTCTTCTGGATCTTATAACCTTTTATCCCCTCTTTCCCAATATTCCCTGAGTCTTAGGATCAAGAGTTGTGTTGTAGACATATTCACTGAGGCCAGGCTCCACACAATCCATTGATTTCTGTATTGTGGCCAGTTGTGGTGTTCTGTAATTGTCT